TTTTTTAATTGTTTTTTATTTGATTTGCTTTTTAAATATACATGTGTAGTCTATAGCCGGGAAAGCCAAAGCTGAAGTAATTGTTAGAAGGCCAAGTTGACCTGTGCCTTTTTAGCTCACCTGTCACAAAGTGACAGGGTGAGCTTTTTGTGATCGCTTTTCGTCCGGCGTCCGTCCGGCGTCCGTCCGTCGTCCGTCCGTAAACTTTTGCTTCAAATGACATCTCCTCATAAACCACTGAGCCAATCCAAGTTTGTTCAAATAAAAGCCCTGGGGTCAAAATTGGCCCCGCCCCAGGGGGGCATTGATTTTCCCTTTATGCATATAGTAAAAACTTAAAAAACTTCTTTTAAAAAACTCAAGGAGCTAGAGCTTAGTTATTAAGCATGGAAAATCTTCTAAAGGGTGTCTACCAAGTTTGTTCAAATAAAAGCACTGTGATCAAACTTGTCCCCGCCCAAGGGGGTTATTGATTTTCCTTATTTATGCATATTGTAAAAACTTAAAAAATCTTTTTTTTAAAAAACCCAAAGAGCTAGTGCTTAGATAATCAATACCATGAAACATCTTCTAGTTAGTGTCTACCAAGTTTATTCAAATAAAAGCCCTGGGGTCAAAATTGGCCCGCCCATGGGGGGCATTGATTTTCCCTATATGCATATAGTAAAACTTTAAAAAATTATCTTTTAAAGAACCCAAAGAGTTAGAGCTAAGATAATAAGCATGAAACATCTTCTAGTGAGTGTCTACCAAGTTTGTTCAAATTAAAGCCCTGGGGTCAAAATTGGCCCCGCCCCGGGGGTCATTGATTTTCCCTTTATGCATATAGTAAAAATCTTCTTTTACAGAACCATAAGAGCTAGAGCTTAGATAGTTGGCATGAAACATCTTCTAGTGAATGTCTACCAAGTTTGTTCAAATAAAAGCCCTGGGGTCAAAATTGACCCCACCCCAGGGGGTCATAGATTTTCCCTATATGCATATAGTAAAAACTTAAAAAATCTTCTTTTAAAGAACCCAAAGAGCTAGAGCTAAGATATTTAGCATGAAACATGTTCTAATGGGTGTCTACCAAGTATGTTCAAATAAAAGCCCTGGGGTCAAAACTGGCCCTGCCCGGGGGGGGGGTCATTGATTTTTTCCTTATATGTGTATAGCAAAAAGTTAAAAATCTTCTTTGGAAAAACCCAAATAGCTAGAGTTAAGATATTAAGCATGAAACATCTTTAAGTAAATATCTACAAAGTTTGTTAATATAAACGCCCGGGGTCAAAACTGGCCCTGCTCCAGGGGTGTCATTGTTTTTAACTAAATGTGTATAGTTAAAACTTTAAAATCTTCTTTTAAAAAAGCCAATGAGCTAGAACTTAGATGTTTAGCATGAAACATCTTCTTATGGGTGTCTACCAAGTCTGTTCAAATAAACAAATAAAAGCCCTTGGGTAAAAATTGGCCCGGGGGTGGGGGGGGCCTATATACAGGTGAGCGACCTCAGGGCCATCATGGCCCTCTTGTTCAAGTTTTTGGGTTATGGCCAAATTTTTGGTACTCGTGGGAACAGAATTTTGTGATTGTTAAGTTGATACTCATTTTGAGGTTTAGTTTGTATTGTTAGCTTTAATTAAAATGTTCCATAACATCATTCATTCATTGACTCCAGGATGAATTGACATGTGACATGTGACATGCAATAATTGACCCTAATTGGCACTGATAATCTTGTTCTTTTCTCATTGATGCCAGTCTAAGTGTATCTTAAGTTTGTAGTGCCACATTTGTCTGCATCACCACATTAGATGATTAGTCATAAAATAATTGCCTAAAAAACATTTTTAAAAGCTTTGATTTTATTTATATAGATGCATTGGAAGATTTTGACAAACCAGGGGTTGGAAAACAGACAGCAGGAGCAGAAGGTGGCAAACCAAAGGTAGGAAATGTGGTTTTGAAATATCTTTACTGTATCTGACTTATCTTTTCTCCAGTTTTATTTGGCTTAACCTTTTTTTATCCCACCGCAGCATCTGTGATGCAGTTGCATATAGCGATTCACCTGTGTGTGTGTTTGTATGTATGTGTGTTATATAGATTATTTAGTAAACTTAAAAAATCTTCTTGTGAAAAACCACTAGTCCAATTTCAACCAAACTTGGCAGGATTGATCCTTGGGTGAAGGGCTTCCAAATTTGTTCTAAGAATTTCATTCCATTGAGAAATCTGGTTGCCATGGCAACCAAAAGGAATTATTAGAATTTTTTTTAAAAATCTTCTTGTAAAGACCCACAAGGCCTAGAGCATAGATATTTTGCATAAAAAATTGTCTGGTAGACCTCTACCAAGATTGTTCAAATTTTAGCCCTGGGGCCAAAATTGGCCCTGCCCCGGGGGTCATTGATTTTCACTATATGTACATAAAGTAAAAAATTAAAAAATCTTATTTTCTGAAGGTACAAGGCTTAGAGCTTTGATATTTGGTATATGATATCATCTATAGATACTCTACCTATGTTAGGTTTTTGCTGGTATTATTATAAAGAATCATTATAGGTTATCCCAGTTTGAGCTTTAAGTAAGGTATATTGTTGCCTATTCAAACAATTATCACATTAAGTTACTACATTCAAAACATAACATAAATAGTATTTGCTATATTGAAATTTTTATTACCCAGAAATGCCCAGTAATGTCAAGTATTTCCCAGAAAAACCCGGGTTTTCCCAGTATTCCCGCAGGGCAATACTCATAAAACCCAGGTTTTTGCCAGCCCTGACCTTCACCACCAATTCAATAGACTCCGCTGCATTGATAAATTCCTACTGTGATCTTTTATTTGAATAACAATAGATTTAACCACTAATCTGATAATAAGAATTAGATAGGTCAGTGATCTATGCATTATGGCAATCTTCAATTGTATAGAAACAAAAAAATTCTGTTCCTACATTACTTTTTAGTGTTGTTTTAATGCAGTGGCATAGCATTTTTCACAAATGCAATCTTGTTTTGGTAATATTTTTTAAGTCTTTGTTTATAAAAAACTGCTGTAAAAGAATAGAAAAGAATATGATAGAGTAACAGTTGCTGAATTGTGTCTATCACTTTAATGTTGAAAGCATTTCTGTGCAGCTACTCAGCCATCTTGATAATTTTAGGTTTAATTCCTACAAGTAACAAGTTTTATAATAATATTTTTTTTTTAGATTTTATAGTATAGAAAATTTGCTTTTTAGCTCGACTATTCGAAGAATATGAGAGCTATTGTAGTCGCCCCGGCGTCGGCGTCCGCGTCAGCGTTGGTTAAAGTTTTTTGTAAAGTCAAATATCTCAATTATTACTTGAGATATTCAATTGAAACTTACAATAGTTATTTATAGTAACAAGGTACATCAGCTTGACAAGTTGGATAACTCTGCCTACAATATTGACAGAATTATGCCCCTTTTTAACTTAGAAATTTTGGTTAAAGTTTTTTGAAAAGTCAAATATCTCAATTATTGCTTGAGATATTCAATTTAAACTTACAATATTTATTTATAGTAACAAGGTCCATCAGATTGACAAGTTGGATAACTCTGCCTACCATATTGACAGAATTATGCCCCTTTTTAACTTAGAAATTTTGGTTAAAGTTTTTTGTTAAGTCAAATATCTCAATTATTGCTTGAGATATTCAATTGAAACTAACAATACTTATTTATAGTAACAATGTACATCAGATTGACAAGTAGGATAACTCTGCCTACCATATTGACAGAATTATGCCCATTTGGAACTTCGAAATGTTGGTTAAAGTTTTTTTGTAAAGTCAAATATCTCAATTATTGCTTGAGATATTCAATTGAAATTTAAAATTCTTATTTATAATAACAATGTACATCAGTTTGCAAAATTGCATACCTCTGTCTGCAATATTTGCAGAATTATTTGCCCCTTTGAAACTTTGAAATTTTGGTTAAAGGTTAAAAATCTTCAAAGATATTTACTTGAAATTTTACACATGCACTTAGGGTCATAATTGGAGGGGCATAATTGTATGTCACTGACCAAGTTCCATAACTCTATCTTGCATTAAGGCTGATTTATCTCCCCTTTTCTACTTAGTCTCTTGGTTATTGTTAACATGCAAGTTTTACATATCTCAATAACTATCAAATATATTTTTTTTAAACTTCACATATGCATGTAGGGTCATAATTGTATGTCACTGACCAAGATCCATAATTATATCTTGCATTTAGGCTGATTTTCTCCCCTTTTTAACTTAGAAATTCATAGTAAAGTTTTTGCTTGTAAGCCGTTATCTCCATAACTACTGAAAGATTTGTGCCATTTTTTGGGGACAATTGTATGCATTCATAATAACAAAGCAGTGATTTGCTTGATAAAACATCTTATAATAACAAGCCTTTGTACCTTTTCTGTCAAATTTATGTATTCATAGGTAATTAGTATTATTATACTCAATAAAAAAAACCTCGTGACATTACCTTCCAAATAGTCAAGCCAACTCTGTATCATTAGACTCTCTCTAAGACCTATAACATGAATTTATAAAAAAAAATTAGCCCTTTTGTGAACTTAAAAAATTTAACATTATCAAGGCTCTTTTACTATCAAGCACTTAGAATAGTCGAGCGTGCTGTCCTACAGACAGCTCTTGTTTTATTGCAGGAAACACATTCTAGTGCTGGGGACCCTATATCTGATGTATTTGCAGAGCAATTTTCTGATGAACTGTCGAAGGAATTTGAAGATGCAATGAAAAATTTTCTGTCAGATGACCCTGCTATGATGCAACAGATAGAGAAACTTGCAGAGGCTGCAGGAGGTGCAGGTATAGAAATTAGTAAAAGTGCTTGTATATTTTCGTATAAAACTTTGTCTCTTTATCTCATTTTTAAACCCTTAAAGATCCTGTAACTCATTTTTTTTATGGTTTTAAATCGTAGATTTGATGCTCAAATGAAGATTTATTAATATTGTAAGTTCCAAAAAGCATTATTTGTAAAGATATTACCAAATTTACATTTCATGTTAATAAAGGGAGGTAATTAGAACTTTATTTTCTATAAAGTCTAAGCAAAATTTTTTAATAAGCAATGAATACATATATTTTAATGATTACATATAATGTGCATAAACATTTGCAGTACATATTTAACATATTCTTGAATGTTTGAAAATTGTTTTAGAAGAATAATTATATTCATATATAAAATTTCACTTAAGTGTTGTTACATCCTCAATTACAACATCCAGTGTCTATTCTAGGATTTAAAAAACTTATTGAAAAGTGAGAATTTATTACATTTGTTGATCTTTTCCTTTCTATCTCTATGTAAAGTTTTCCTCCTGCCTCTGAAAAAATAGAAGGGAATTCTCAAAAATATGATTGAATAACCCCATCCCCCTCCTAGAATAGACACTGCCTTAACATGCTGAATTTGTGAAGAGGATTTGTCCTCTTTGGATATCAATTCAAAGAATGTATGTAGCCTGGTTCTAAACTTGTGACAAAGGCTGCATACTTTGGCTCAAGCGGGTTAAGGGTTCAAGGGAGAATGTTCAATCGGTCTTGAATTTTGCCTTGATTAACACTCTTATAGTCCATAAAGGTTTGGTTTATTTGCTCAGAATTTCAACATGAAAGAATTTGCATAGCCCTCTTCAAAATCTCAGTAATTGTAAATGGTATGGATGCCATTACTCTGTGGTACTTCTGTAACTGTACAATGTCATGCCGTACTTGTACATGAAATTTAGTTAAAATTTTTACGAAGTTGCATGAAATTTGGGCTTTATACCGGTATTCGGTATTGAACCTAAACTGGATTCATAGGCTCAGTTTAAACATCAATTTCAGTATCTGTTTAAATATGGGCCAAAAAAATATTTTGACACTCTGATAGCCATTTGAACTTCTAGTGTGTTTTATTATTTTCATTTTACTAACATTACTAGGCAGTGATATAATCGGGTATCTAGGATGCAGAAACACATATGGGGTTTAACTTTCTTTTGTTCTCAAATTGAGATCATAATGTTAAGTTTAAGCATGCATGTTTCACAAACTTCTCTTTAATATTATTTTGTAAAAAATATTGATTTTAGGTGATTCACCTGAAGGGCAGAAGGAATTTGGAGAAACATTGAAGCAAACATTGAACAGTTTAGCACAAAATACAGAAGGCTTACAGGTAGCTTTAGTTGCTGTTAATGAACTTAAATTTAAAGAATAAATAACATTGTTTATAAAAAAACATCTCTCTATTAAATGACTGGTTTTATTTTGTGTTTTTACTCTATTAAAGAATATGCATTTGTAACTTAAAAACATGCTTAATTTGCATAATAAATTATCATGAAAACTAAACTGAATTGAAGTATATGAATGACTATCAAAATTTTATTGGAAAAGTAAAATTTTGTAAATAAATTTCAACCTTAAAATTTCACAAATTAAATTGATCAAAATCCTTTTGAAAGTAGTATATCATCATTATCAATATTATATATATACATGAAGACAGAATGTTGCAAAAAAAAAGTTGGATTTTAAGCTCAATTATGAAAAGAATAGGGTACTATATTGTACTCACCAGGTGTCTTGTGTCAGAGTTTAGTTATGTTTATTGGTGTAAGCTGCTATCTGCGAAACTAATGCAGGGGATGGCTGAATCTATACACACTTAGTTAAGAGCATAATAGGAGGTCACTATCTAAGGCCTATAACTCTAACATAGATTTTGACAGAATTATGGCACTTTTGAACAAAGAATATTGTACATTTTCCAAGGTCTTGTTTTACCATCAAGCACTGAGAATAGTTTAGTACGCTGTTCTACTGAGAGCTCTTGTTATTAAAGTTTATGTTTTTATGTTGAATATCAGACTGTAAAATTGATGCTTTTAAACCCTTTGTTTCCATGACAAAAGATGACAAAAATTTTGTTAAATTTAATGTATTCTAGGACCATGGTGGCATGGACGATGAAATGATGAAGATGTTTTCAGGAATGGGACTGGAAGCAGGTGGTCAGGAGGAGGGCTTTATGCCAATGATGCAGAACATGATGAAAACATTATTGTCCAAGGACGTTCTTTATCCTTCCTTAAAGGAAATATCAGAAAAGGTACGCATAATATTATGTTTGTTAAATGTGAACTGATGTGTTGCTTTTATGTTGTCCTAACTATATTCTGTGAAACATAAATGGTTGGTGGTTCGCTTTTTCATCCTTCAATCTATTCCTCTATCACAGTTTCTTACTGCTTCTAGTTACAAATACTTTCATAAATTAACTTCAGTCAGTGCTCACACTGGCTTAAAAGAAATAATAGCCAATATTTTAAACTTAAAAAAATAATAGCCAACAGTTCAGCGGACTATTCACGATTCTGCGATTAACAACATGAGCAGTTGATTCAATATACATTACATATAAAACTTTTTAAGTTTTATAATAATTTTTAGCTCGACTATTCGATAAGAATAAGTAGAGCTATTGTAGTCACCCGAGCGTCGGCGTCGGCGTAACCACTTATGTTAAAGTTTTTGTAATAGTTCAAATATTTTCAAAGTCCATTGACATATGGCTTTGAAACTTTGCACACTTGTTCACCATCATGACCCCAACCTATAGACAGGAGGAGGTAACTGTATCAAGCATTTTGACAGAATTATGCCCCTTTTTTCGACTTAGAATTTACGTTAAAGTTTTTGTAATAGTTCAAATATTTTCAAAGTCCATTGACATATGGCTTTGAAACTTTGCACACTTGTTCACCATCATGACCCCAACCTGTAAACAGGAGTAGGTAACTGTATCAAGCATTTTGACAGAATTATGCCCCTTTTTCGACTTAGAATTTACGTTAAAGTTTTTGTAATAGTTCAAATATTTTCAAAGTCCATTGACATATGGCTTTGAAACTTTGCACACTTGTTCACCATCATGACCCCAACCTATAGACAGGAGGAGGTAACTGTATCAAGCATTTTGACAGAATTATGCCCCTTTTTCGACTTAGAATTTACGTTAAAGTTTTTGTAATAGTTCAAATATTTTCAAAGTCCATTGACATATGGCTTTGAAACTTTGCACACTTGTTCACCATCATGACCCCAACCTGTAGACAGGAGTAGGTAACTGTATCAAGCATTTTGACAGAATTATGCCCCTTTTTCGACTTAGAATTTACGTTAAAGTTTTTGTAATAGTTCAAATATTTTCAAAGTCCATTGACATATGGCTTTGAAACTTTGCACACTTGTTCACCATCATTACCCCAACCTGTAAACAGGAGGAGGTAACTGTATCAAGCATTTTGACAGAATTATGCCCCTTTTTCGACTTAGAATTTACGTTAAAGTTTTTGTAATAGTTCAAATATTTTCAAAGTCCATTGACATATGGCTTTGAAACTTTGCACACTTGTTCACCATCATTACCCCAACCTGTAAACAGGAGGAGGTAACTGTATCAAGCATTTTGACAGAATTATGCCCCTTTTTCGACTTAGAATTTACGTTAAAGTTTTTGTAATAGTTCAAATATTTTCAAAGTCCATTGACATATGGCTTTGAAACTTTGCACACTTGTTCACCATCGTGACCCCAACCTGTAGACAGGAGTAGGTAACTGTATCAAGCATTTTGACAGAATTATGCCCCTTTTTCGACTTAGAATTTACGTTAAAGTTTTTGTAATAGTTCAAATATTTTCAAAGTCCATTGACATATGGCTTTGAAACTTTGCACATTGTTCACCATCATTACCCCAACCTGTGAACAGGAGTAGGTAACTGTATCAAGCATTATTTTTTTACTATCAAGCGCTAGAATAGTTGAGCGTTGCTGTCCTACCGACAGCTCTTGTTGAAATACACTGATACATTTGTGTATGAACCACAGCTTTAATAACTATGAAAACTTTGATGGAACGGAATAAAAATGTTAAATTTTAGAATCAGAGTTTAAAGAGTAATAATGATTCATTCTACCTTTATATAATGCTTGAGTATTTACAATATTAGGGGTATGCATGTAGACCTACATTGTTTTACTTTTCTTGATATCTTTTGTTTGTTCTAAAAATCAAATTTTGTCAGCTATAACCACTGTCAATTTCCAAATTTCACACCCAACTGGAATTAGGTCATATTAGCCTATAGAAATTAAACTTGCAAAGACAGTCACATTCACAGAATGCAGTCTTTTTCTGAATAACTTACTGAAAAATGTCATCATCACCAATGTAATGCATATTGCCCTGTCATCGTATAATAATAATTCATATTTTGGTTCCTAACATGGACCACTACACATGACTGTGTGAAATTCCATAAAACATTAGACAACACACTATCTTATTAATTATCAAAGCAATATGTTTACCTGTATGAGATGCAACTTTTCAGTATCCAAAATGGTTGACTGACAATGAAGGAAAAATAACACAGAAACAGCATTCAGATTACACTAAACAGAATGAAATCATTAAGGAAATCCTAGTCGAATTTGAAAAAGAAAAAGCTGCAGATTCAGAAGAAGTCAAGAAACAGAGATTTGAAAAAATCATGGATATGATGCAGAGAGTAAGTATTTACTTCTAGATTTGACATGCACAACTGTTCAGGTTCAAATCCTGCAAGGTACTTCAGATTCTTTCATGTAAGGTAGCTATCTAGCTGACTTATGAAAGATTGATGGTTCTACTTACAGTATGCCCATACCACATGACTTTTGGGTCACTTTAAGTCTGACTTTTTTTTCAGAGAGTTATTGTCAAAGTCATGTCAGCGCTCTAGTACCTGTTGCCTCACACGTTGCAGTTGCCGTCTGTAAACTTAACATTGATCATAACTTTTTTATGTCTTGGTGTATTGTCTTCATACTTGACCACAACAATCTTTGACCACCATACTAACTTAGACCTTCATTCATAAATGATCTTGACATATAAATTTAAATGTCTGAAATTTGCTTGATTTTTATATGCCCGAAAGGGCATATTATGTTATACCCCCTGGCGTCCGTCTGTCTGTCCGTCCGTACGTCCATCCGTTAGCAATTTGGTTTCCGGAGCATAACTTAAGTTCCATTTGGCCCACAATGTTCAAACTTCATAGGATGATTGTCCATATTGGGTAGAAGACCCCTATTGATTTTGGGGTCAAAAGGTCAAAGGTCAAGGTTCAAACTAAATTACCTTATAACTAAAAACAGTTTCTGGAGGCATAATTAAGTTCGCATTTGACCCACCCAATGTTTCAAACTTCATAGGATGATTGTCCATATTGGGTAGAAGACCCCTATTGATTTTTGGGGTCAAAGGTCAAAGGTGAAGGTCACTATTACCTTGATACTGAAAACAGTTTCCGGAGCATATGTTAAGTTCCATTTGGCCCACAATGTTCAAACTTCATAGGATGATTGTCCATATTGAGTAGAAGACCCCTATTGATTTTGGGGTCAAAAGTGAAGGATCAAGGTCATCCTTACTAAAAAAAAAATACTTTCGGGCATATAATGCTCCGTCTAGCGGTGCTCTTGTTGTTATTTGTAGCTATAACTTAGTTATTTTTGCAATTGTCTCCAAAACTTTAATACAACAATCCTTTTGGATAGACCTTCAAGACAGACCTTGACCTTCACTCATGAATGGCCTTGACTTTGAAGGTCAAATTATTTTTTTTTAAAATTCTGTTACTGGCTATAACATTGTTATTAATGAATGAATTTACTTTATATTTAGAGACAACATTCTTCTGGACCAGACCATCTAGGCAAAATAAACAGGTCTTCAAAGGTTGACTTTAACATTATAATTGTGTAAAGTTTGTCTCCGCAAAAATGCCCATCATAAGAAATCACAAATACTTTATACTCTTCAAGAAAAACAGTATTGAAATTGTATGAATGCATAATGTATATCTTGCATATAGTTTTAATTCTGTTTCAGATGCAAGACCTTGGTCAACCCCCAAAAGAAATAGTTGGTGATATGGCTCCCGGCCTGGACTTTGATGCTAATGGTGTGCCAAAATTTCCTGGAACTTCAGATGCTTGTTCAGTCATGTGACCTTCCACCTCTGTTGTGATTGGTTCATTTTGAATCCCACTACAAATGTTTTTTACATCATGTGATACTGCACCTTCATTGTGATTGGTCAATACTGAATTGCACTGCAGAAGTATGGTGCATCATGTGACAATGTATCTTTGTTGTGATTGGTTCATTTTGAATTGCTTTTGCCATGTGATAGCTATTTTTACTAAAAATAGCCATTAAGGTTCTTAAGTTCCTGAAATGAACATATTCCTTTTGTATATATGGAAATGCATTTCAGTGCAATGTATTTTTACCCTTTTTTTTTCAATTTTTTACTTCTTGATTATGAAATGTAAAACACTCATTCCTTATTGAGCTGTTACAGGAATATGTTTTTATTATTTTAATTCAAATATTTTCTGCATTTTTCAAGGCATACTATTCACTCCTGGACCAATATGTTAACAATATTATGAAATTAGTTGCTACCTATGATGCAGAAAGCTCTTATGATTCAATTATAAGCAAAAAAAATTCAAAATATAAACAAGACTTTTTTTTGACTTCGTTAGTACACTTGTAATAAGTAAATGCAGGTATTTAGTACCGTTAAATAAAGTATGAATAATAAATAAAGTATAAATGAATTGGTAGTGTTCAACCTATCATCGAAGTGTTCCGAGTGTTTCGGAATATCTCTGTCAGAGGTGTTGTTTTTACTTTATTTAAACGTGATAATTTTTCGATTGATTTTGAAAGTTACTTTATATGTTTGTCATTGTTTCTTTTGTTCTTATCAATGACTATTATATTTATTTACTGTTTTTCCACATCCTACATCAGACTGGAAGTGTAATTTAGGACAGAAGACTGTGGGGTCTTCTAGCAATAGTCTGAATTGTATAGACACTTTCATTGCATGTTTTTTTAAAGCGTCTTACAATCAAATTATAGCTCAAATATAGCACCAGTCCAAGATTTTCAAAATGGCAGTGCCCTGCAAAGTAAGGATTTTACTCAAAATTGTTAGACATAATTTTTTAATGATTTTAATGTGATGTCAATTTAACTGACACATGTCATATATGTTAGCTAAGAGGCTAAGTTGTTTGAATACCAGAATTTTTGACATTCTTTGTAAAAGTGTAAATCTTTTTCTTATTAGAGGGTATGAAAATATATTAAAAACAGAACTTTTAGTTTCTTAAGTATGAGTGGGCTTTCAAAGCTTTCTAAACCCATAATCTGCCTATAAGATGGGTTAACTCACTTCATTTACTGTACATTTTATTTTCCTACAAGACAGGCCTACCTGACAATTTTGTATACAAGTTAAGTTTATCTGATTTATTGATTTTTAGTGCACTTTTGACCAGGCTTTCTTACACCAAACTCTGGTTACCAGATTAGTAAATATTGGCAGGTGGCTTGGTGAAAAAATATTGTTCTGAGCGCAAATTTTCCCAGTATTACTGGAGGGATTTTAAACAAAATTTCACAAAACAGTTGTTGTCAAGAAACATATTGTCAGTGTTTTGTTATTTGCACTGTTATGGAAACAAATTTGTCAAAATTGTTTGAACAGGAATTGGTTATAATTTCCAAATACCCTGTTTGTATGACATACTGAATTTTGACCTTCTAAAATGAATTGAATTGAATAATGCTTCAGTATTAAGCTTAAAATAAACTTACTTTAAATGTATTATATGCATGTGATGTAATAAATTTACAGTTCTAATTGTGCTTTCAGTCCGCCAATGGAATTATTACTACCTATAAGTTAAGTTCTATATTAAGTCATTTTCTGAAAACATTCTCTTTTAGCTGTGAGATATTGCAGATTAATGCCTCCTTTACAAAGCTTTCCTATGTATAGCTTTATTTTCTTCAATTCCTCCCTTAATAAAATACAATTAACTTGTCCTTATGGTAATTGGGAACTGCTCATTTATAGATAAAGAGGGGTTTTAGTAAGAAAATTACTAAGGCAAGTATTGTTCAATATTTCAGAATTTTCAGAAGTTTTGGTCATTAGACTCATTACAGGAAAGGGACCTGATTCTTTCAAAGACTGTTCTTCTGTTTTTGGCACACATTTAAGAAATTTTATGTTCAATCAGAGACAGTCTTTAAAGTAAATTTACAGTTCAACCTCTGTAGAACCACCCTATGTAGAGCAATTTCCCCTATGACAACAATAGTATCAATATTTCCTAAAGTAAAAAAAAAAAGAAAAAGACATCCCAACAAATTTTAAACCTCTCTAAGGCAAGAACTTTCAGCAACAACCAATTTCTTTGTCTCTGAAAGGGGGCTTTTCTGCAGAGGTTGTATTAAACTTGTAGTTGAATATTTATGTGAAAAGTTATAATGTGGGTTCAACCATATCTATCACAATGTATATAAGTTATACATGTATTGTATATGTTTTTGTTTTTCTTTAATGAATATCTGTAACTGATTGTTGTGATTGTGAAACAGATTGTCTGTTTTCTGTACTAATTGTTAAGAAATATTTATATTGAAATTAAGAATTAAATTAGAATGATTAAAGAAGTACTTGCCTATCATTTTTTCCTACTTTTGGTAATTACGCTATCATATAATGGAATCACTTTGTTGTGTCCTTCAGTCAGTTTGGCGGTCCGTCCGTCTGTCTCGACTGTGTTCACTCTGTAAGTCCTATATCCTTTTCTTGAGGATTTTCTTCAAACTTGACTCACATGTTCGCCTTAACAAGCCAATGTACATATCTCATTTTGCTGCTGTACTGGCAGTGTCAATGTCACACTTGAAGGTCAAAGACCATTTTGTGTCCCTTTTATAAATTCTATGACTCTTGAAGGTTTTACTCAAAACTTGGCTCAAATGTTAACCTCAACAAGTTGATGTGCAGAACACATGTCACTGCTGTGCCAGATAAATGTCAAGGTCACCATCCTACATAGATCTTCTCTAAGGAGGTCTCTAGTCTTGGCATAACACCTCTGTTCTAGAGAAGTATTATTTCACAATGTGTACCAACTGAACAAAAACTTCATTTCAACGGTTTAAAATATCCCCTTGACCTTTAAATGGCATTGACCTTCAATGACAACTATGATTTTCACCACTGAGGCAGTTTTGGTCTACAAACAGACATTGTTCTAATGCGTTCAGTTTACACGAGAAAACCTAAATGACTTGTGACTGTCCAAAAATAAACTTTGTTTCGAAGTTAGATATGCCATTGATGTAATTTGAAGCACATAAATTAACTGAAGTATATGGTTTTAATAAAACGTATTTACAATGTTAAAGGCAACGCCATCAGTTACCTAGGAGATGGTCTTACAGATGATCATAAAACTGCCCCTTTGGGCATTAGATAGGACTGATTTTGAGAATTTGACTCCCTATAAGATGCTAGAGGCATTTTGTAGTACAAGTTGTATCTTGGTGTATTTTACCTATTTAAGGTTTGCTGAATCCGATAAAGGTGGATACCAAATTGAAAAACTCTAAAATGGCCACGAAATTTCTTTATCATAAATTGATGATATAGCAAATAAAACTTTAAAGGAATGGAAAAGCCTGAAATTTGTCACAAAGCATGTTCAGGTAAAAACAAATGAGACACCAAAACAGAATTAAAATATAACAATCCAATATTGCCGAAAAATCCAACATTTTCTATATAGAAGTAATATTAAAAATAGTACTGAAAATTTTGAGGCATTTTACGCAGCGAACACTACACTCTTCCCGGCCCTATCCGCTAGATATAGAGCTTTCATATATTTTATCTGGCACTCTATGCTCTATTCTCTGATTACTCTTGGGTGTTGGTGTTCGTTCTTCTGTTATCGGTCCTCGTCGCAGTTCTCTTGTTGTGAGTCCTTCTGTTATTGGTCGTGATCTTCGTTGTTTTGTAATCGGTCATGGTCTCAGTTCTTTTGTTGTCAGATGTTCTGTTATCGGTCCTCGTTTCTGTTGTTTTGTTGTCAGTTCTTCTGTTATCGGTCCCTGTCCTGTTCTGTTATCGGTTCTCGTCTTCGTTAAATATTCTCTGTTCTTCTGCCATCGGTTCTCGCTTCTTTTTTCTTGTTGTTAATTCTTCTGTCATCGACACCCGTCTTTGTTGTTGTCTGTTTTCTGTTATCGGTCCTTGTCTCTATTTTTCTGTTATCTTCTTGTCAGTCCTGTTATTGGTTCTGTTCTTCTGTTAGCGATCCTCGTTTCTGTTCGCTTGTTGTCTGTTATCGGTCCCTGTCCTGTCCTTCTGTTATCGGTTATTGTCTCTGTTCGTTTGTTGTCAGTTCTTCTGTTTTCGGTGCATGTCTCCGTTCGTTTGTTGTCATTTCTTCTGTTATCGGTCCCTGTCTCTGTTCTTCTGTTATCGGTACTTGTCTCATTTCGTTTGTTGTCAGTTCTTCTGTTATTGGTCCCTGTTTGTGTTGTTCTGTTATCGGTCCTTGTGTCTGTTCGTTTGTTGTCGATTCTTCTGTTATCGATCCCTGTCTATCAATCCTCGTCTCCGTTGTATTGTTGTCAGTTCTACTGTTATCGGTCCCTGTCCCTGTTCTTCTGTTAACGGTCCTCGTCTCTATTCGCTTGTCAGTTCTTGTCTCCGTTCTTCCTTTTGTTATCGTTCGTCGTCTTCGGTCTTGTACTTTCGGTACTTGTTTCCTGATCCATTAAAGTCTTCTCTTGAATCTATTGTTGACGTCATTCTGCGTCGATATCCTGGTTTTGCCAGTCTTGTAGTCATTTATTCGTTCAGTGGAGTAGCGGGGGATCGAACTCACGACCCCTTGATTTGTAGGCAGACAGTGTTACCACTGCACCATAGTGCCCGCTCTGAATAATAACCATTTTTGAAAGTCCTTTATACATTTAATACTATTTCAATGGCTAACAAAGGGTGTATTACAATTATATTTTAACACGCTCTTACTATGTAGCCACCCACGTGACTTTTATATATGGTCATAGAAAATATTACTCGATTTATTACAAGTGATATTTTTAAAGATAAACTTTTGCTGTTTACTTTAAGATATCCTGGAAATTTATTGGAGGGTACCCGGAATTCTAATGTATATCAAATGATGTGATAATCTTCTTGTAGAATTTTCTCAAAACCGTGACTGAGTTCCAAAATTTTCGAGAGCTGCCACGGTAAAGCAAGCACACGTAGCAATCTCCCGGTTTCAGACATTTTATGACTTGTGGTGTTGTTATTGTTGTTGTTGTTGTTGTTATTGACTTTAACTTTAAATTTCAAATTAAATCGCCACTTATTTTTAAAAAGATGGTAAACATTTGTTTTCTGTATTTTTGTTAAGAATGTGATAAAGTATACACTTCTAAGTTTAAGATGACTTTATCAGTGCAGTTATAATTAAATAAAAAAAATGAATTACGCAGATAATTTCTTCGGTAGAAAACAGCAAATACAAACAACACAACTCAAACAAAACTTACATGCAGCATACATGTGTAATGTTCACAATGTGCTGAAAAACGACTCTTTATTAATTTCAACATTTCAGCAAGTGACACATTTTATAAAAGAATGGGACAGAAATGTTGTTGTAACCATTTAAAAAGAAGGATTTGTAAATTTGTAAGTTGGATATTTTTTACCTAGTTTGCTCAACACTCAATTAATACATTTTTATATATAAACCTGAGGTACAGAAAATAGACTGAAAACAACTTTCATAGATTGAACACTGATGTACGCCAAGGAGAAAATTTGTCTCCAATATTGTTTTCTTTTAAATGACTTAACCCAGTTTCTGTCTTCCAGTATGCAAGGGTTGTCTACTATATCTAGTGCAACTGTTAATTGTCTTAGTAATGATACTGTTGATGTTTACCTAAAATTATACCTGCTATTGTATGCTGATGATACCATTTTATTAGCTGAAAACAAATTAGATCTACAGAATGGTCTTAATGCCATGTATGATTATTGTAAATTATGGGATCTGAATGTGAATGAGGATAAGACGAAATAGTGGTTTTTAGTTCACGTAAGCCTAGAAACTCGAATCTTAACTTTACGTTACAATGGTAAACTGTTAGAAACTGTAGAAAGTTTCGCATACTTAGGTGTATTATTTAATTTTCAATGGCAAATTTGGTAAAGCCAAGAAAAAATTGTTGACCCCAGGCTAGAAGAGCTATGTTTTCTGTTATTAAAAAAAGCTAGAAAACTGTTTTTACCCATATCTGTTCAATTGCATTTGTTTAACACTATGGTTGTACCTATTTTATTATATGGTTGTGAGGTTTGGGGTATAGAGAATGTACAAATTATTGAGCAACTACAGTTACGCTTCTGTAAACTCATACTTAATTTAAAAAGGTCTACGCCCAATTGTATGATATATGGGGAAAACAGGACTTTGTCCCTAGTACTGCAGGTTAAAACAAGAATATTGTGTTATTGGAGTAAGTTGATAACCTCAAAAAATGATAAAATATGTAAAATATTGTATAATACAGTTCTTTCTTTACATGTTAATAATGTCATGACTTCTCCTTGGATCTCATTTGTTAAAATACTCTTGATGAGCTTGGCTTATCAAACTATTTTTGTGGTCAATATGTTGGTAACTTGAATAGTTTTAAAACTATTGTGAAACAGAGATTGAAAGACCAGTTCTTACAGAACTGGAAAGGAATCGTAAATGAATCTCCAAATGTTTAATTTATCGTGTGTATAAGAAAGATTTTTGTTTTGAGAAATAATTAGATATATCACCTTTCAATCTTTGTAGAATACTTTGTAAATTCAGAACTATGAACCACCTTTTACCTATAGAGAAAGGTAGACATTTACAGATTGAAAGAAATCAAAGAATATGTCATTTATGTCCAAAACAATCTCTTGGGGATGAATTCCATTACTTATTTGAATGTCACTTTTTTAACTCTCTTCGTAAAAAGTTTATTGATTCGAAATTCTCAAATCATCCTAATATTTATAAATTAGAATCTTTAATGAATAGCTTTGACCATTCAATTTTATTAAAACTTGCATTATTCTGCATAATTATTATTTCAAAATTTAAATAACTCATTCTCCCGTAAGTCATGAATTTTTCAACTTTATGAATGTATTTACATAGAAACAATTTAGATAACTTCTGTATAAGACAAATCATGTCCAAAAAGTAGAGTCTAGTCATATGTTATATGTTAGTCAAATTGATTTCCTTATTATATAATTTTATGTTTACATGTTTTGTTAATTACTTTTGAATAACTGTTCATTATATTGTTGATATATCATAACCTTATGCATATTATATGCCTTGGTTTTGAATAAATCTTGAATCTTGAGATAGAGCCATAATGTCGTAGATATTTGGGTTACAAAAGGAGTTTTTGATCCTGTTGATTGAGCCATTAGGCTTATTAATCGTTATATTTGGTGGCCAATCTCATTAAAATCTGATAATATTGAATAATCATTTGATTTTGACAAGAATAATTAATTGCATCATATTGTGTCATAGTTTTAATGACCTATTTTAGTATTTTTAAGCGGCCATTTTGAAT